TTTAAGAGGTTTTTATCAAAACGTTACCAACCGTGTATTTTTAGACGTGTGCCCTGTTTACCAGAAGTTGAATTAAATATTAACAATTTCGGCAGTTCATTTCTACCTACTAGACACGCCAAGGCATGCTGTAAGTCCCGCGGCGACGGCCCAGGTGTCAGGGGAGTCACGGGGCTTTTGGGAGGTACCGGTTACATTCAGAGTTTCTTCCAGGCATCTCTTCGGGGGGGGGGCTAAGCCCCCCGAAATTTTTTTACTGCCCCCCCCCCCCCCCCGAACGAAATGAAATTTATATACTTTATATAGAAAATATATACTTTTAACAGTGTCCGCCCCCCGAAGAAAGTCTACCGCCCCCCCCCCCCCCCCGAAAATTTCAAGTGCCCCCCGGAGAAAAAAGTCAGGAAGAAACACTGGTTACATTACTGCACAGGGGATGGGCGCGACATATTGTTTCTTCCGGCAGTCTGGAAGAAACATTGGTGCAACACTTGATTAGATTTAGTCATCGAGTGTAGTAGCGAGACTTATTCCTAGTGTTGTGGGAACTTTTAAACGACTGTCTGTGGGGGCCAACCTGCTCATATGTGATGCGCTCAGGATGACACTGTCGCCGGTGATTTAAAGTAGTAACCTCATCCGCTTATGCAAGATCTAGGGGTGCTAAATCACATATTTCCGTTGGGCGTCCCACACAATATGTAAACAAATGTTAGCCTATGACAGAAACCTTTGCGTGGCTGTCCTCAACAGCTTCCAAAGTTTTCATGGCGATTGGGTAAATGAGGCAGTAATGCAAAATAGACAGAAACATGTTTTTCACATGTACAACTGTATGTGGCCAGCTCACGCGTCGGATAACCTTCTGATTTAGGGGGGGGGGGGGAATTCACAAATGACGTCACATTTTTAACGACTAACAAAAAGCCAGACCCTCACACACCCCCACCTCAATAACATCATTTATAAATAGTAATTGACTATTAATTATATAATAATGTTAAATTAATTCTAAACGTTCTAATTAATTTCTAAATAATTATATAAAAAATAATCTTACCTGCCCTGTTTTGTGAATTAGATGTGCCTAATACTAATAGTATGCAAATAAATCAATATCTGTTGACTAGTGCTGTCTAGTGTCTGACAAAATGTGCTAAAGTGGTGAATCGTACGTTTAGGAAGTATTTCATAAACGATACATTGATCGACTCGATACTTGCGAGGCTAAAAAAGAGGGATGGGATGGGGGTCGGCTCGGGAAAAATCTTGAAAGAGACAACAAAGCGCCTATGTACCATCGCCCATTGTAAAACTTACTCAGGGGAGATAATTCCAAGTATAGGCCTTAAAGTTTACTATGATATTTCTTGTAAAAGTAAAAATCAAGTAAACGTATATAAAAACGAAGTTTCTAGTATTATATTCTTTTTTATTATTCGTAGGATACAAGATAGTACAGAATACAAATTCAACCACTATCACTAACACATATTAACATTGAAAAATGTTCAATGGATTTCGGCGGGTCCCTAACTAATGCCGCAAAGAAGAACAGCGCATCATGAAAGCCACTTCATATGTAGCGGCTTCTCCTGCTATGGTCTTTGTTGTTTTTTTAAAAAGAATTTTGCCGGCGACAGCGTGGGGAAATAGAACTCGGCCTTGACGATGGTTAAAAAATACAACTATAAATAAAAAGAAATGTTATCCCAATCCCCTGCCCCATCCGCCACAGTACACTTTGGAGGATCGGTCAAACAGTTACGTGTCCTCTATTTAGCTATCAAAGGGGGGCAACGAGTCAAATGTGTCATTCAAATTTGAAGCGTTGCCTATATTTTACACTGTATTTTGTGTAATGGATTTTATTTTTTTGCTGAAGAGCGTGGTATAGTGACTGTAAAATAAAGATAATCGTACCGCAGCTACAGTGTTTTTCTTTTACAAACTAAATATCAAGGCAAAAATGCACGAAAATTAAATTCAAAATTTAAAAAAAATACTAATTATGGTCAGCAGTGGGCCCCTAAACGGCCTGCCCCCCCCCCCCCCACTCGCATTGCGGGGTCTGGGGGCACTGTAGTTCCGCCCCTGTATAGATCTTTTGGTTGTTTTTAGGCTTAAAAGCTAGATCATTGTATCCTAAAATTTTTTAACTTTAATGTATTTAGTGATAATAAATAATGTTCCATTAATACGTGTACTAATTATAAAACGATTAATAATATAAAGACGAGTCTTACCTTCCTTGTTGTGTGAAATAGATTCGTCAACGAAATACTTCATCAGGTAAATGAACAACTACTGACTAGTGTCTTTAACAAAATGTGCAGAAGTGGCCAGTTTACAGTTCAGTAGTTCATAAACGGTTTCGTTAATCTATGCATTACATCTTATTGTAAGAGTAAGGGTGTGGTGAGGGGTAGAGGTTAGGGGGATGGGGGGGGGGGGGAGGGTAGAGAGATGGGAAGGTTCAACGGAAGGGGACAAGAAAGCACCGATGAACATCTACATCAATAGTGCCGACTTTTTCCGGTCGTCTAGAAGACCAAGATAGTCGCCGCAAAATTTCCCCAGCCCGATTTTCAAAGCTTTTTTGTTCTCCTAATCGACGCCACTAAACAAGAACGGTAGGCTGCGTCTTTGAAGTTGTCTATATGTCTGGCGGTCTCTCGAGCAATAGTCTGTGCATTTTTCTCAAAGACGTTTGCCGACTATTGTGTTTGTTTGTAACTGTAGAAGAAAGATAACTCGACATCCACCTAATTTTTTTATTTAAATTTAAAAAAAAAAATTTAAATAATTTAGCCAGGATTTTTGGGCCCCCAATTGGTCTGGGCCCCCCCGCATTGCGGGGTCTGGCGGCACTGTAGTTCCGCCCCTGGTTGTGAGTAGCCTTAGATAATTAAAAAAAAAACTTAAATACCTAGAGAAATATAGTATTTAAAAAAATACCAATGTTATAAAATTTGCAAAAGCTGAAAACGCAAATAATTTTTAACACTTTTATTTGGACGCTACAATTCTATTGTTGCTATTCAACCAATCCAAAGCGTTAAACTAACGTATACCACTGTAAAATAAGTTTCATGATATTATCAATTAGTAGGACTTTAATATGAAACATTATGTCAATTATAAAGGCCCAAACATTTAAATTTTTTTTAAATTACTAAAACAAAATAAAAATATAAAAATGGGTCCTACATTATTTTATTATAAGTTTTTTATATTTGCACAAGATTTTTTAAAATTCATCGCCAAATGAGTTTTTTTGTATCGATGCCAGAGTTTTCGTTATTTAGCTGGCCCTTCATCCCTAAAAACAAAAACAAAAGGTAGGCAACTGCATAGATTCTAGAAATCCAGAACTAGAATCTAGATCTAGATCTAGATTCTAGATTTAGATCTTGATTCTTCAACAAATGATCTAAGGCCAATCTAATATCTAAGCTAGATCTACTACATAGATCTAATAATACATAGGCCTATTTAAATTTGTTTGGGAAGAAGAAAATAGATCTATTTTCAGTCTTATAAGAAAAACAACAGCCACATCGAATCTAGATTCTAGATCTAGGTCAAGTAAGAAGAGAGATCACATGATCAAAATTGAAAATAATAAAATAAAAAAAAATTATTAAAAATAAAAACGAGCTGACCCGTACCTTAAGCATACGTCGCTATTTATTTACTACTTAGCCTAGTTGTTTTATTTTCTGCTTTTCAGTAATTCATATTGTCATAATTTATGAATTTGACTATTTGACACTACCCCCCCCCCCCCCCAATGAAAGCAGCCGTCTGTGACTTAGGCCTCCTACCACAGTTTACAGATGATAAGATTAATCCGAACTTCTTGCCTCGCCTTAGTTTCAAATCTTTCAAAGCTAAATTATCTGTCCCTAATAGCCATCACACTCTGTAGCCGGTAGCCTAAACATTCTGGGTGAACCACAGCTCCCCAAACTGGTGGGGGTGGTAGCTTTAAGTATAATAATTTATAATAACTATATGCCTAGAGAGTGGGGTAGGAAATGCTAAGCCCATAACGTGGTGATGTCTCGCATGGTCCCTGCCTAGAGAATTATATAATATTATATATATAGATATTTTGTCAAAATCCAAAATTTTAATAAATTATACTATTGGCCTTGGTCTAAATAATCTTTATTATTTAGTAAATATCTTAGGCCTAGCTAGAATCTATATCTATAGATTCTAGTCTAAAATTAAAACACCTATAATATAATGTTGTGTTGACTAATAATGTATACAATATGGTTTTTCTAATAAGTATTGGTAGCCTTTGTTATTTTAAATGTGCCGGATTTTTAGCTATTTAGTTATTTCTTTGCTTTGTCACTAATATCTCAACATATAATGCTGTGTTTTGGCCAACAATCATTTTATAAATTATTTTTCCAATACCTATAACATTAAAAATATATAGGCCTATAATTCATGTGTAACTGGTACCGACGGCTAGTTAACTAATAAAACTATCAACTAAATACAGTTGTAGGGCCTATAAAAATTAAATTAGGCCTGCTTAGGGCCTAAGCCTAAATAATTTTATTATACTAAAATGGTACTGTCTGTGGGATTTAGTGTCCAATAAATAGGCCTGATGGGATCTTAATAAAATAAGCTAGACTAAATATGGAATACAAATTGAAATATGCCCTGGCCTTTGCTAATCGTCTAATGTCAAAATGTCACAACACTTATTAAAAAAGAAGTAACCAACCTGATACTCACCACCTAACCAGCCCTAACTAAACACCAACCCTTAATTCAAATTTAAAAAATAATTTATGGTAACACTTAGCAGCTTTTAGTCTAATAATAGGTAATTTGTTTAATAAACTTGTATGATATCAAATAGCTGTGGCTTATGCTAACAGTAAAAGTTGGAAAATGTAATCATTTAACACAAAAACAAATATCATATCAACTAAAATTATATTTTTAATTCCTATGCTGCAATACATTCTCAGTTTTCCATCCTCTTTACAAATAGTTTTTTCCCCATAAATTGTTTTGCAGAGGTAGATGAAAGTTCCTAAAAATGTCTTCCATCAAAGCCACAGAGGTAGAAAGTTCTGGCCTCTACTATGAAATGAGCCCCAGGAAAGTAAGTAATTAATTAAAAAGCTTTATATTAGTTCTATATTTGTTAATTAAAATAATTTAAATGTTTATTTTAGCTCATTAACTAAATACTTGTCATATAGGGTACCTAACTCTATTGGGTACCTGACTTGAAGGTAAGAAAGTAAAAGGTGATTGGGCTTAGAGCTGACACTACTACATCTATAATATCTAGAGGTCAGAAAAACATATCAGCTCTTATGAATATGATTATGTTGACTGTCTTGTCTAAAAAGATTCTTTTTTTCAGGATAATTGAAAACAAAATCATTAGTAGAGATCTATATCATATTCTGTGGATCAGATTTTATGAAGATGAAATAACATGAACAAGGATCAGCATTAGTATTATTTATTACATCTAAATTTATGATGAATACATTTTTTTTTAATAATTTTATTTCAGATATGAATATTGAGTATAAAAACTTAAACTTTAACATTTTTAATACTCTGATCTGCAGATCCTTGTTGTTAGAATCTTCAATGTCATTACCTTACTGATGGTTGTGGTAAGGCATTTCTTGATGTATTGTTGGTTATCTTTTTATATATGCTCTAATTATTGGTACCATTTTAATTGCCCAGCTAAGAGAAGTAACTCTTCCTTAGCTACTACATTTCTTGATTATTACATTTACATTTTCAAATAAAAGATTACTTGTAAAAAATGATTGGAACAAAAAATAATAAAGCAAGCACAATGTTATTAATGCAACAGTTTTACATTTAAATAATTATCTTATTAAAAAAACAATCACATCACACCAAATAGTATAAAAATAATTAAATTGCATTATGTAAACTCTAAAAGTTGAACCCTCTATCGCATAATGATTCTATTCCATAGATTGCAGTGATAGCCTGTTTTGTGCAAGGGCATAAGAATGGCTCTTATTATCTTCTTGTATGCAACTTAATCAGTAAGTTTTGAAAACATTTTCCTTATTCATTCATTGGAGTTATTTAAATCTTTGTTCTCATGCACTAATTAAAGTTAATCAAAGCTAATCAGTTAATTTAGCCATGTTTTGTTTTACTCAGACACTACATGAGACTATTTTAGGTTGAGAATTTTTATTTCAGTTAGATATTTGTGAAGGTAATTTTTAGCTATAAGTAAATTAGAAGAGTGATAAGCCACTTTTAATGACACAAGTATAGCATTTTAAATTTAGTAATTCCTTTAAAATACAGAGACTTTCAATTTACAGCTTAAGGTATTGAATTTGTACTCATTTTTACTGTGTTTCATTATTTCGTATTTTCATTTACCTTTTTTCTTTCAGTCAGTGCCTTGGTGAGTTTTGTTGTGGTAAGTTATATTTTTTCTGTTTTTAAACATCTATAGATTTATTATTTTAAATGCTCTAGTGTTCACTTTTGAATGGACATGTAAAAAAAAACTATGATTTATTGTTTTAGTTAATAATAATAATATTAGAATCATTTAAGTAATGGGAAATATATTAATTTTAAACCTTGTTTTCCATTTTATTAACTTTTTTCTAAGTTGAAAAAAATGTTTATTAAAATGCTTCTATGTAACTTCTACAGAACTGGTGGTACAGGAAAGGAGATTTGGTGAGTAGATAGAAATGCATATGCTGCAGACCCATGATAAGAATGGTAACTAGTCTTGAGTCCATAGTTCATGCCCTAACCAAATTACCCCAACCACTTTTCTACCACACCACCTCAACAAATGTATCAGGGAGGCCATGAAACACCTTACAGAACACTTAGATTAAATCATTGCTTCCCCATCTTGTAGCTGTCTGCCAGGCTTAACTCAAGACCATAATGACACGTCCGATAATATTTTCTCCATTTAATTCATCGTTTTTCCAAATCTAAGGTTTTACTTGTAAATCTGGGACATGATATCACCAGAGCTGCAAATTTTCTTTGTATTTACTTCATGTACTTTTCTCGTTTGGTTGATTTTGTATTTTATTACGGCATTTTTGCAGTTGCATCTAAAAGTTTAAGTTACCGTGTTGTGAAATTAACCAAAATTATAGTATTTATGCTAATACTAATGCAATCCATGATTTTTGTATAAAAATTGGCATACTTTCGTTTTCTATGAATAAGAATTAAAATTCAAGAAAAACAATTCTTATCATTAATTTTCCAGACTAAAGCATATTTTTTTCTGAAATTATCAACCCTTTCTTTTTTTCTGCATTAAAACTAAGCAATTATCTTACTGCAATAAATAGATAAATAATTAAAAATTAATATTAGTGTGGGACATTCAATAACAATGAATTTATATTAGTAATGTAAAAATATGTTAGTCATTTTGCTGCATAGTAAGTTAAAAAAATTGATTGAAAAAAACTTAAATCCAGTGACACAAGAAAATAATTCCAGGTTTAAAGAGTTGAGATAAATAGTTGCATTATAAATTATATTTGCTTTTACAGGATAGAAGAAATTCTGTAGTTAGTAAACTAAATTAATTTTCGTAAAAAAATGTTTTACACATTTAACAAGGTTTGTACATTGTGTCATAATCAGTCCTGCCATGAGTTAAAAATACATTTGAATCATCACTAGAAAAATTCTAAAATAATAGTAAGGTCTCATGCATAAGGGAAACAACCCAATAAAATATGAACAATATTTGTTTGCAAGAGTTACATGTCCCACATTAAGCATGAGAGGAAAATGCTTGAAGCATTATTTTGTAAAAATAATTATTATGATTTTTTTAAATTAATGTTTTTTATTTTACTCAACTATTATATCATCAGTAGATTTCATTTAATTAAATTTTAGAATTTAGTGGGTCAGATCAGTATTTTAAATTCTTTCTTAACATGGTTTTCATGCATTGCCATAGACCTACAAAAAGATTAAATGTGGCATTAATAACTGAAGTAGAAGTAAGAAAATGTATTGGGAGTGCGCTACATACTTTAAGCACATATTTTTCTAAGCTTTTGTACAGGTTATCAAATTAGTTATGGAAATGAAGTTTAGTTAATAATTAATGAATGAGCTTCTTCTTCTTACTTATAACACTGAATGGAATTTCCTCCAAAATAACTAAATATTACATGTAAACATGTTATGTGCCTTGTGTCCTATTAACTTAGACTTTAGCCTGGTTTTCTTTTTGGATTTGCCTCTAGAGCTCAAGAACAATCTGCAAGGCAGCAATTAATTGTTTTATTTAAGATGTATTGCTGCCCCCAGCTAATGATCCTCATCTGCCTGTGGGCCCAAACTTTGGATTTTTGGAGTTAGCTCATACACTCTTCTGTCCCACCATGTCGTTCTTTATGTATAAGCAGTACAATAACTTAAGTTACATACATTCCTAAGTAGGGTAATGCATAGAAAAATATAACAATTTTATAGCAATCAGTCATTCCAAAAGCAAACATGACCCAAGCTATCTCCCCAAAATTACTGAAATTAAATCCAATTGTAAATTCAGTTATTCCCCTTACCTAAGATAGGGCCCATCCTTGTTGCAAAATGTGTACTTTTGATTGCCCATCCTTGTACCAAAAAGTTTAATTTTGATTTCCCAGCTCTGTAACTAAAGTTTACTTTTTATTGCAAAGCCTTGTTCCAAAAAGTTTACTTTTAATTACCTAGCCATGTACCAAAAAGTTTACTTTTGATTGCCTAGCCTTGTACCAAAAAGATTACTTTTGATTGCTCTAGAATGTACCTAAAAGTTAACTTTAGATAACTTTTTCTGCAGGAAAGTGAGAAGTATTGGTTTGTCATCCTAGTGGGTGCGGTCATCATATTCCAGTGTATAAGTACGGATGTGTTTGTCTTCAAGACTGATCCATCACCCACACCAACAACATTAGCTCCAACAACAACCCACTCATCCACTACAACCAACAAGTCCGGTTCTTACTTTTAGACACTTGCATATTCTACTGATAGCTTTAAAGATGAAGGGCTGATTCTCACAATGGCTGGCATTTGTTGTTTTAAAAAACATTTTTATTTCTGAGTAGCCAGAGATATTGATGCCGGGATTCTTATTTTTTTTAATCTAGTAAATTCCTAGCTTGATATTCCAAGAAAATAATTGTTTGTTTAGAAAATATGGTCTGATTATAACAACAGTGTCTTGTTTTTATAATTATTGAAAATTGCACTCCCAGCACTTTGAAAGCTATCTCTCCTTATATGTAGGTGTATGTTGGCTTACTTGTTTGTGTTTTATCCACACTAGTTCTTATATATAATTACACTTATGTTTAAAAGATTAATTTTGTATAATTGAATTGAGTTTGTTTTCATTGTTGATATTGTTAACATTATTTTGAGTAGAGCCCAACTTTTTAATGATTGTGAGCTTCTAGATTTTCATGGTAACAACCATTGTTTGTGTTGTAGATTTCTTTGACCAACTTTTTAATGATTGTGGGCTTTTAGATTTTCATGGTAACATCCATTAGCTTTAATGTAATTTTTGTTTACTGAAATGAATTGTTAAAAGAGTGGCTGTATCAGTGTGTAGAATTTAGTAAACTACCATTTCTGTAGACTACAGTGGTGTGTATGCTTTTAGTTCACTGTGGACAAGTAGATAAAGGTGTGATAGACACAGATGTGTGAAAACGCAAATCAAAATATTTTAATACACTGATAACTGTTTTTGTGTTAACAACAGTGGTAATTATGATGTTTTTTATTTTATTTTTTAAAATAGGTTTATAAATGTCAGCTTGATGTCATTTTATAGAGTTTGCATTTATAAAATGCTTTAGGAATATTTTTATTTCACTCATTTGAATGACTTTATAAGAAATTGAAATACAGCTAGCCAAAGTTTCATTTATATTCTTTATTATCTTTGACTCATGTAGAGTGTTTTTTCTAAACAAATCAGTTTTCTTTTCAGTTTGTTGCCTAGTTTCTTAAAACTATCAGTGTGTGAATATCATATTGAAATCTTGGTGGAAATTGTTTCAGTAAGCTGTTTGTCTTTTGATCTGGTCATTCCTTTACATTTTTAAGATATTTAATTGGCTGTTCTATCATTTGATGAACTCATTCCTCCACATTTTTAAGTAAAAAAGGCTGTTCTGTTGATAGATCTGTTCATTCTTTTACATTTTAATTGGCTGTTCTGTCATTTGATGAACTTATTCCTCTACATTTTAAGTTGTTTAAATAGGCTGTTGATAGATCTGCTCATTCCTATCCATTTTTTTGATCTGATTATTGTTTAATTTAAACATATTTCTTCGGTGATATTTTCTTAATCACTAAATTTACCATTTATTTAAATAGTATTAAAAAGTTATAATAAACTGTTGCAGTTATTATGTTTAAGAGAAATTTTTAGCTTATTCCATGCATTCTCTATGAACAAAATTCATACTTGTAAATGTATGTATACATATATATACAAATATATAGGCTATATATATATATTTTTATATATATATATATATATATATATATATATATATATATATATATATATATATATATGAATATACTTCAAAAAATATCATTTAACATATATATACCCTTTTCTTATTTTGTTTCTTTTACTATTATTAATCAACTAATTACATTGCCGGTTCTATTGAGGTCAATGTAAAACTCAATGTAAATTGAGCAAATATACTTACAACTATACTTATACATCAGATTGAATATAATTAAAACACACAAGTCTGGCATTTTGTTTTTTCATTTAATAAATATGAGTATATAATGAATGCAATGACATTACATTTATAATGATATGCTATTAATATTGCATGAGGTTAATGTGTAATTTGCATTGATAGAGATAACTGCTAGTGATCTTGAATGGGTGGAAACACGCTAGATAATAAATTGATAAAAACAACTCGGGTGGTGTTTGAAAAACAGCAAGTTGTTATGTAGGACTGCATGCTTTTGATTTAAGAGACATTTTGTAGGCTTTTGATTTAAGAAACTAAGAAATTTATTATGTATAATCTACACCTTTACCAAATAAAAGAAGTCTTGTGTATTGTTTATTATAAGACTACATCTTAATGACATAAAAGTTATGTAGTATTAAATATAGGATTATGTCTTTAGAACATAAAGAAACGTATGTAGTGTTAAATAATAGGAATACATCTTTACCACATAAAGAAACTTTATATAGTATAATAATTAGTGACTTTACAATTTATTTCTTACTTTTCTGCAGAAATAGAAGTATACAATAAAAAAAAAAGGTTTACCTATTTTAAAACCATTGAGAGGAAAATAATTGAACAGAATTCTGCAGTTTGTGTGTTTTTACCTAAAATATGATTATTAAAAAACAATAGATATATTGCCTGCTTTTTAAAATGAAATTTACAACGACAAAAAAACCTACCCAGCATAGCTTTTAAGTTTTTCTGTGAAATTTTTTTTTTTATTATTTCATACACTGTTTCAGTAAAAATCTTTACATAACTACAAGACTCTTTAGATTAGAACTATCAGGCTTTACACACCTTTGTAAATTATTTTACACTTCCTGGGAGGCAAATAAAACAGGTTTGTAGATTACCTTTGATAACTTTAGAGAAGATTACCATTCAACTTATAAACAGTAAATTTGACTACATAATGTTTATTCTTAAGTCTTAATAATAGTTTTTGAAATGAAAAATGTTGTCTTAGAATATATCACAAATCTATCACATTATATTGTAGGCATCTCTGTATTAGGATTCTAGAAAAATAATGCTTTTCATTTTAGAAGCAAGATTTAAAAGTTTTATTGTCTTATTTATACGCCTCTGGTGTCTATTTTTTTAGAAAACAACAATACACAGTGCTTGTTTTTTAAAACAATATTGAGATCTTTGAAAGTTGGGTACACCTAGGGGTCATCCATAAACAACATCACACTTTTAAAATTATTTTTTACCTCCCTCTCCTCCTTGTTATCACAAACAGCCAGACTACCCCCCCCCCCCCCACCTCAGCCTACCACATCCCTAAAAATTGCAACTTTTATGTATTGCTACTCTAAATTTTTTAATGAGCTTGGCCAATATTGAATATATTGATCCATTTTTTTTTTTTTTACAAAATTACTGTTTTGAAAACGCAAAGTAATCGCTAAATTTCAAGTTTTTTACATTACTTTTAAAATGCATAATGTATCTTCACACTTTCTGTGTTTTTCCCTCTCATTTCTCATTCACGCAAACCTAGGAGTGTGACGTCATTTCAGGATAACCACTTAGACTGATATCATTTTAGGATGACAAATTTGACTATAATGTAATTTCTCGATGACCACATAGACTATGACATCATAACTGTATGACCAATTTGACTATTGTAATCAGTTTGTGTGAGAGATGTATGGAAAGAGCAACTCCTTGAGTGAGAAATACATATAATCCTACAGAAGAACCTTGAATTTCAAGACAGAAGAGGTTTGGTTGTGTTATGTACACTTACAAGTTCAAAACATTTTTAGCAAGCAGAAATCTGTGATGCGGAAATGTGAGGGTAAGAAGACATTCAGTAATAGAATTTCTTTCAATTTTTCCCTATTTACAAAAATAATAAATTTTTTTTAAAAATTTTACAATTTATTAATTTTGTGGTTATTGTGAAACAATATTCATGGCTTTGTCAAATGAAGCTTTGAAAATAATGAATCAAACAACATCCTGTGATTCTAGTGTTAAATTAACAAATGCAGAAAGTTTGTTATGAAGGTCTCAAGCTATACAACAGATATCACATTCCCTGGATCTGAAACTTACTTTACAATAGACATTAATTTAAAATAAAACATGACAGTTTAAAGGAAGTAACATTAATATTTCATTAAATTTTCAATTGGAATTTTAAATTATAAACTAATGAATAAATCGAAATAAGAAAAAAAAACTTTGTATTAAATAAATCTTTAATTAGAGTTGAACTGGGATCACAGACTTTAGTTTAAAAAAAAATGTATATCTATTTTAAGATAAAAATTATCTTGAAATTAGAAGTTTTCAGCCTGCCTGGATTCAGTGGAACTGCTCTTTACAATATTTATTGGCCAGGAACTTTGTGGTTTTTCCTTTCATCCCTATTACCACCAGGCAACAATGATGTTAGAAGCAAGAAGATTTCACAAATACCACAGTTAGTGCAAGAGTGCCTTAGATTCATGAATATAAATTTATTCCATTCGATTCAAGATTCTATAAACTATGCAATATATAAAATACAATTAAAGAAATTCTTTGCTCACCAGGGGAAACATAAGAGGACACTTTCGAGTGAAAATTTTCAAGTGTATCACAGTTCAATAGAGATAGTCCAGAAAAAAAGTAATCTTATTACAGTGATCAAATGACTTTTACACAGAATTGTATGCAACATTGACATTCAAGTTTTTTGAATAATATGATAATGTTGACAATAATGGTGCTAGTGGGAGCGCTTTTTTGTGTATTCGCTTTGGTCTCCATATATATATATATATATATATATCTTATATATATAAATTAAATATGACTTCAGCAGTCATGGTATATTTTTATTTGAACATAAAACTACATATGATGTGGTACTACCTTAAAAATGACACACTTATAATAGTCATAATGTCAGAAACACATTAGAATATTCAAGAAAAAGGATGAAATGCTTTCAATACTTTTTACTTTCACATCATAAACTACAAAACAAGAATTTTTGTTTGTACATAATTGTCACACTTTATACAATTTTAGCAGACAATAGAGTTTTCTAACTCAATTTCCGAGGAAAATATTATATTCCAGAATAAGATTATTTGTTGAAGGATTTGTAGTTTGTTTACATTCATTAACTAATTTCAATAAATAAAAAAGAAATATTAATTCAGTGAAGAAAAATTTCAAATAAAGTAGAATTAAAAAAAGATTAACCCTGAAAGTGCTGCAATAAAAAATACATTTAAAATTTTATCATTTAAAAAATAAACTTAATTTAATATTATTACAAAATACTGTAAAGTAATTTAATAGACTTCATTTAAAAAATAATTAGTCACGTAAGCTAATGTAATAAATTAATATTAAGCAAACAAATGAGAAAACAAATTTTTATTCTGAAAAAGTAATAAAATGGCTGAAATTATTCCCTACTTAAAAAACAAGTAAATATTTTTATCATCTGCAACCTATTTTTAGTAACATTTCTATGTTCATTTTTCCCTAGATAATCAAAATGTTGTAGCCCCGTATCATATAGAAGAATTTAGAGCTTGCAACCTTTTACTTTGTGTCTTTTAAATTCGTTATTAATTTTTAAACCATTTTAAGCATTGAAACTTCCTCCCATTGACCATGCTTTCACTACATGCTGACTGTGAATAGTTAAAAACATTTCTTTCATTCCTGAGGAGCAAAGTTTGATAAAAACTCATTTTGCATATCTTTTTGATTAATAATTTGTACATTTAGTAAAATTAATTTAAAAAAAAACAGCAACTAAATTTTTGTAGTACAGAAATGGAAAACTTCAGGGGGTTTTACATTTTTTTTCTGTAAAAAAATAAAAATGAAAAAGAAAAAAAAACCCAGAAAAAATAAGTTTTTTTTTTAAAGCTGGACACTTAAATGCTATCAAATCAAATGTATCTACCATGAATACATTACAAATTATTCTAAACAGTTTTAGTTATTTAGCTTTTAAAGATCTCTACCACTAATTCAAATAAAAAAATATTTTTGATAACCCAGTATGCATAGACATATTTAGAGGGTAAATTGTACATATTTAGCTCTAAGAACTATATCGTTTTTATCACAAATATATACATATCCATTAAAATAACACTGTGAAGATTCCAATGAAAGATTTTACATTTCAAAAATGAGCTAGCAATAAAATTATGCTAGACAATAATTTTTACCACATGAATTGAATACAAATTAAAATACTTAGTGGGGAAAGGGGTGGTGCATTGTTTTATCTTAACAATAAATTGAAGAAATCTTAAAAATATTAAAATCTTAATTTAAAGTCAATTCAGTTTTTTGTAGGTACTTTCTAGACAGCTTCATTTTTAATGTTATAGGCCTATATATTTTATTATCATCTTCAGCGATAAAAAAAATTTTAAGATCGCCTTTAAAATGTGATTTTATGGTTTTAACACAATAATGTTGAAATCGACACAAATTATTATACTTGCTTAAAACAGTTCTATTTTAAAATGTGCATTTATTTATATACAGCAAATATATATTTATATAACAGACACGGCATTCACTGGAGTGTGATTAATATCAATAACATTATCAAACTGAACTGTCCCACTTGGTAACACTCTTACAGCTAAACCAGTTATCAGTTAGTGCAATAAGCAAGTAACTACATACAGTGAGGCACGTAAGAACAATTAAGTGCATGCTTATGTTAATGGTGAAAAGTAATTTTCTGTTTAATCTAGGCCTATGACAAATGAGCTTACTTTGTAATCTGATTGATGAATCTGCATTATTATAGTTTGGATCTAAATAGGACCATTATGTAAGTAAAGTTCCTATTTAGGCCTAGCGACCCATTGGCAGATGAAGTACAGTTCAAATGTATTTTGACCTCTGCATATAAAGGGATGGTGTGGTCAGAACTATGCCCAGCTGTGTTTACTTTCCCCAACATAAGTCAGGTACCCATTAAAGCTGGGTGGACTCTGTGACATTCTTCAGTTTCAAGTCCGAACCAAGATCCGAACTAGAGTCCTTGGTGCTAGCAGCCAAATGTTCTACCATCCACCATACAATCCCATAGGACCATTATGCAGTTAAAAAAATGTCTTGTATCATCTAAAGCTTTATTCTTTTACACACATTTTTTTAACTGTTGTTTTGTTTATTTGTGTGTGGTATTACAAAACCTAAAAGTTTAAGATTTGTATACATTAAAACTTAGTAAGTGGTCTACCTGAGAGAAAATAAACTAAAATGGTAAATTAATGTCTGAAAATATCCATCAACAAATTAGTCTGCATGAATTCATGACTCTTATTTTAAATGTTATGTTTTGTATATTAATAAAAACTGTGATGTTTTCAAAAATAGAATACATTCAGTCCCACGTGTACATTTTAAAATTGAACACAGCATATTATTAATGATAGCATTCAAAGAAGGATAAAAAAGATAGTGGTATTGTTATTAAAAGGTGGATGAATGAGTTATGATTATGAAATGTGTACACTATAAACATACAATAAACTCAAGCTTAAACTATTTTAAATAAAAACATAAAACTGCAAGGGTACCACATCTGCTGCAAGAGCTCCATGCAGATATGTTTGTTATAAATATATGAAACATATGGCATCAAATGTTAATCCTTTTAATGTTACGTAAAAATTCTTTCCAATATTTCTATCTTTGAAAAATGAGGATGATTTACAGGCATGAGATGGTGCTTGTGGCACCTGTGAAACTGGAAATGCATAGTTAAACACTTTATCACATACAAAGACAAGCAGTAATTGAAATAGTCTATATATCTATATAGTGGGTCTGTACTGTGTCTAGTGTGCTTTTCACCTATTTTTATTTGTTTTTTCCTGTACAAAAAAGTTTGGTGTACTAAAAAATTCTTTTATACTCTAAGAGTTACAATCAAGTCATTTTTGTAGCCATATATATTTAGAATACATATATGCTTATTCAAGTTAAAGTAGCAGTTTCTTCTCAACTTTGTGTTACTGAGTCTCTCCTCCTAAAAGCCAAAAGCTCTTGATGCCTCCATTGATACATTTTTTAAAAATTTGGTGCCTGCCCAGCCGATGTTATCTCATCTTCAGATTTATTAATTTACTTATAATGTTTAAGCTTCTTTTCAAACAATTAAAGTAGCGACTCATTCATAATCTCACAATTTTGTGAAGAAGAAATAAAAATAACAGCTTTAAACTAGGCGTATGTGCTAGCCCATAAATAGGACAGCCAATACATGTCTTTTACCAAAACTTGTGAGCAAAATTTTGACCACTTCTACCTATTTTCTTTCAAACTTGACACTACTGTCAAGACCAGATGCCAATGTAACAGGACATAAAAGTTGACTTGACAAGACTTTTAATTAATTTTAAAAATTAATTGTTTCCTATATAAAGTAATAATCTTACACGCTTTTGTACAGACATTGTCTGCAATTTAATTCTATTGAAATTCAAAAGGTAATTTAAAAATAAGAAATAATAAAAAAAAAAGTTATGCACAACTATCTAAATAACTAAAAAGAAAAGATTGAGTTTCTATCTCATGTATTAAATAGCTTTACTAAATTGCTTTTCTATTTAGTTATTTAAATAGTAGTTCATTTTTACAAATTTAAAAAAAAAATCCTGTTTTTAGTGCATACAGAAAGCTTGTTATTAAAAATATTGTTTTATTAATTTTTAAACTATATTCTCAAAGACAGCAGTTTTTAAGATATACATCAAATTGTTTCGTTATTTATAGCTGTTTATATTTTTATTTACACTTCAGCAGACCATTTCATCATTCTATTAAACGGCCAACGTGCCCAGAAAGCTGTGACTCCAAAGTTTACATTCTCTTGACCTATGGCCCTACATTTGAGAGTTTTTTTAACAAAAGAAATATCTTTCAGTCACTGTTTCACATAATAAATAAACAGGCTACCAAGCATACACTCTGTAGAGATTCAAATAAAGGGCTTTTATTAGAGGCTCTTAGAGCGTAGACATTATGAATTATTAATCAATGGAGAGAAAAGGACTCATAAGAGTGCTTGCTAGGATTCACATGCTTCATAATAATAATAGAATATTAGTATGAAGGTGATATATAGTTACACTCTTAATCATTTTAAAATGTCAACTTAATTTTTTTTTTGTTACTTTAGTTTCATCTACATGTGTTGAAACCTAAAACAAAAATACCATTAAGTTTATTTTGAGTTTTAAATAAAACAGCTAAAGTAAGTTCATACTGGTTTCTTTTTGTTTCACTAATTAAAGATTTAATTCTGTGTATGGCTAGACATGGGCAGGTCAAAGTTAAAGTTTCTGTTTATCAATAAAACAAAATCATTGAAAACTTTGCTAAAATCTATGACATTGGAAACTGCTAATGATATATAGAACTTAATAGCGTAAGAATTGAATGTGTTTGTTTTTTTATTATTTCACATCAGGAGAAAGTACTCATCCTTATCATATTTGGTGTGATCTAATAACGAGATGTTACAGAAAAAAAAATGTCTAAATTTATCTAAACATTTGTTTTAGAGCTAACTAGAAATTGTATTTTTTTGTTTTAATTTAGTAAAAAAAAGTCATGTAATTAATAATAGGCCAAATCATTGAAATGCGGGCCTAAATATTCATTACCATATTTATTCAATGTTTACATCACCATGGTGACATGCTATAGTGGTGAGAATTATGACACTGTGACCCCGTTCCCCCAGCAAGATCAAACTAGTAGCTTCATACATTCTGGCAATGCATGATGTAGGCTACTAATGGTAAACAGAATAGTTTTACACGCAAGAGTTTTTATTAAGGAAGCTGATGAATAAGAACACATCAATCAAGCAAATAAATGCTATGTTTGTTTTCATGAAGGCCTACTGAGAATTTCTCACAAATCAATTTAAATGTTAATGATAATGAAGAGAAATGAAACATTACATGAATGCCAGCTACATGAGAGTTTGAAAATAACAATTTCGTACGATAAATTCAAAATCATTAAAGAATACAAAAATTTATTTTTCTTTAACAAACTTACCTAATATTTATAATAAATAAATACATTTTGGAAATTAAAAGAACTCAGTTCTCACTTGTTTGATTTTGTGCTGGTTCTTCCGGTTTCATTATCATCGGCATGAAAACACACAGGGAGGTGATGATAGTAGTTAGGTACAAGAAGAAAAATATGCGATCAAATATCAAGCTGAGCGCCTTCCACTCCTGCGCTACACGATCTTTTTTATCCTTGTTGGTCAGCCGAGCCTTGTAGATTTTCAGAAAGTCCATGAGTTCTGTCATGTGGTGGTTTATTACTTTCAGCTGGAGAGTTTGCTGTTCGTTTTCGATTTGTGGTGGGGCGCTGATTTGAGGCTGTTCTGCTGTCGATGATATGGTGTCCCCACCTCTTACCCATTTACTGCTTTTGTCACCATTGAGGGGCATGCCGAGGAATGGGACCCTGTCCCCTACTAAACGGGAGGTCAACTCTGTAATTGTCTTATCACGGAATTGGCTTACAAGGTTGTCCATGCAGAGAACCTTGGCGAAGAATTCAAACATCACCTGAAAGATATTTGTTTAATTGCTAAAAAACAGTTTTGTAAAGTCCAGAATTTAAAGTTTAAAGTTGTGTGAGAAAGATCTTTTTAGCTGCTAAGTTTTGAGAGAAAAATAGTTTTATACAACTCATATCCAGAATTTAAAGTAGTGTGAAACTTGTCTTAACATTATTATTGCACCTACTTCTGAGTTATGTTGCTTTTAGGCATGTGAATTATAGATTCTATGTCTAATAATCATAATAAATTAACTATTAAAAAAAGGTTAACACTTCATATTCCTGTGTACTAGAGTTTATTTCAGGCATCTCTTTTGGGTGGCAAAAGGGTATCTTAAATATATCTTAAACTATCTTTTAAATTTAAGGGGGTACCAGTAGTAAAAACACATTTCATAACAAATTTAAGATATATGCTTTTTTTTTCAATTGTATTATGTTTAAAATACTTTAAACATTATAATATTGTATTTATTTGGGGCCAATTTATACATTTTTAACAAGTGAACAATTTTTAGGTACAAAGTAGAATCAAAAATTATAATTGAAAACAATGCTAAGTCTAAGTAGGCTATCAAAGTAACTAGTAGTAGATTAGTAGATATGACAAATAACAGTAGACTTCTCTATGACAGAAAGAAATTTTTATATCTTACAAAATGATTTTTACTTTTAAAATTTATTAATCATTTGATTTTCTTTGAAAACAATTTTAAAACTTTTACACTTTTTTAAAGAATTAAAGTACATCCAAACACTTTGCACATTTTGCGTTGCAATGTTTTCCCAGAGTTCTATAACAAGTGACAAAGTGGAGAAAACTCGAAATAAAGCTTTTTGACTAAATATTTTATCACATAGATCTAAGTGTATATAATAGCAAAATAATGAATAACCTGGATAAATAATTACTTTTTGGATAATATTATTGGGGAAAACAGCAGCTTACAAAATTTACAAAAAAAAGTTCAATGCCAACCTTCACTAGATGTAAAAATCACCCAAAAAATAAGATAAATGAAATTGGATTAAGATTTTTAAAAATATGAATTTTTCCTAAATAGAAATAGAAGATATATACTTTAATCATTTTCAGCAATAGGGGAAAAATTTCTGACAGAAACACTGGTGTAAAATATATGTTTAAAAGATGTCATAAAATTATGCCCCTATAACACCCCACCCCTCATTTTGAGACTGGCTGTACCTAAAAACTAATTCACAAGAAATTCTTTACAACAGATCTCAATGCATATGATTTTAACCTTTTACTCACCATTCTCAGGCAATGGGGAAGTGACCGCCTGGCGCCATAAAATGAAAAATGTACAACCAAAATGTTGAGAAAACATGATAAAGTGATGAGGATCATATTCGTGCAATAGTAGATCCCTGAAAATGTACAAAGTTTTTTTTTAATGCAACATTACAGCCTTGTCAATTTTTAAAAGTGTTTTTACAAAATACAAAACTAGTTCTCTGAAAAAAAAGTATAAATATATATATATATATATATATATATATATATATATATATATATATATATATATATATATATATATATATATATATCTATATATATAAAGCAAAGTGGTCAAGTGCCCGATAGGGCACTTCCCGGCGCCGCAGGCGCGTCAAATTTGGCACGATGGTGCCTTCTGGCGATAGAACACGAGGGCCGGTGACGGTTGGCCGAAAAGTCTACGGAGAGGGGGTCAAAACTGACCTCGACTGACCGGCGCCTTATATGGGCTATATTACGAAAAAAAATTTCCTCCGACGACCCCCCTTGAAATTTTGTGAGGTAGTAGGAGAACGCCTTGGGGTGTCACAAAAAACTCGCCATGTCCGGGAAAAATCGGGAAATGGGTCAAAACTGACCAGTCGTATTTCCCTATATAATCTTTGTATTTTATGGGAAAAACAGAGGGTCATTTCAAAACGGATTTTAGGGCACTTACCCTCTTTACATCTGGCTAATTTTTGGCATGTTTATAGGTAAATGGCTTGACCGTAGGGCAGACCTGTCGGTCTCACTCAAAACCCTTGACGAGGGCTAAAAAGTGACCGCGAGTGAAATTCTCTTTATATGAGCTCTATTACGAAAACAAATTTCCTCCGACGACCCCCCTTGATATTTTGTGAGGTGGTAGAAGAACACCTAGGAGTGTCACAAAAAACTCGGCATATCTGGGAAAACTTCGTAAAGCGGTCAAAACTGACCAGTTGTATTTCCCTATATAATCTTTGTATTTTATGGGAAAAACAGAGGGTCATTTCAACGCAGACTTTAGGGTACTTAAGCTCAGTATATCTGGCTAATTTTTTGCATGCTCCTAGGTCAATGGCTTGACCTTTAGGGAAAACTGTCGGTTACACTCAAAGCCCTCGACGAGGGCTAAAAAGTGACCGCGAGTGAAATTCTCTTTATATGAGCTCTATTACGAAAAAAAATTTCCTCCGACGACCCCCCTTGATATTTTGTGAGGTGGTAGAAGAACACCTAGGGGTGTCACAAAAAACTCGGCATATCTGGGAAAACTTCGTAAAGCGGTCAAAACTGACCAGTTGTATTTCCCTATATAATCTTTGTATTTTATGGGAAAAACAGAGGGTCATTTCAACGCAGACTTTAGGGTACTTAATCTCAGTATATCTGGCTAATTTTTTGCATGTTCCTAGGACAATGGCTTGACCTTTAGGGAAAACTGTCGGTTACACTCAAAGCCCTCGACGAGGGCTATAAACTGACCGCGAGTGAAATGCTCTTTATATGAGCTCTATTAGGAAACAAAATTTCCTCCGACGACCCCCCTTGATATTTTGTGAGGTGGTAGAAGAACACCTAGGGGTGTCACAAAAAACTCGGCATATCTGGGAAAACTTCGTAAAGCGGTCAAAACTGACCAGTTGTATTTCCCTATATAATCTTTGTATTTTATGGGAAAAACAGAGGGTCATTTCAACGCAGACTTTAGGGTACTTAATCTCAGTATATCTGGCTAATTTTTTGCATGTTCCTAGGACAATGGCTTGACCTTTAGGGAAAACTGTCGGTTACACTCAAAGCCCTCGACGAGGGCTAAAAAGTGACCGCGAGTGAAATTCTCTTTATATGAGCTCTATTACGAAAAAAAATTTCCTCCGACGACCCCCCTTGATACTTTGTGAGGTGGTAGAAGAACACCTAGGGGTGTCACAAAAAACTCGGCATATCTGGGAAAACTTCGTAAAGCGGTCAAAACTGACCAGTTGTATTTCCCTATATAATCTTTGTATTTTATGGGGAAAACAGAGGGTCATTTCAACGCAGACTTTAGGGTACTTAAGCTCAGTATATCTGGCTAATTTTTTGCATGCTCCTAGGTCAATGGCTTGACCTTTAGGGAAAACTGTCGGTTACACTCAAAGCCCTCGACGAGGGCTAAAAAGTGACCGCGAGTGAAATTCTCTTTATATGAGCTCTATTACGAAAAAAAATTTCCTCCAACGACCCCCCTTGATATTTTGTGAGGTGGTAGAAGAACACCTAGGAGTGTCACAAAAAACTCGGCATATCTGGGAAAACTTCGTAAAGCGGTCAAAACTGACCAGTTGTATTTCCCTATATAATCTTTGTATTTTATGGGAAAAACAGAGGGTCATTTCAACGCAGACTTTAGGGTACTTAAGCTCAGTATATCTGGCTAATTTTTTGCATGCTCCTAGGTCAATGGCTTGACCTTTAGGGAAAACTGTCGGTTACACTCAAAGCCCTCGACGAGGGCTAAAAAGTGACCGCGAGTGAAATTCTCTTTATATGAGCTCTATTACGAAAAAAAATTTCCTCCGACGACCCCCCTTGATATTTTGTGAGGTGGTAGAAGAACACCTAGGGGTTTCATAAAAAACTCGGCATATCTGGGAAAACTTCGTAAAGCGGTCAAAACTGACCAGTTGTATTTCCCTATATAATCTTTGTATTTTATGGGAAAAACAGAGGGTCATTTCAACGCAGACTTTAGGGTACTTAAGCTCAGTATATCTGGCTAATTTTTTGCATGCTCCTAGGTCAATGGCTTGACCTTTAGGGAAAACTGTCGGTTACACTCAAAGCCCTCGACGAGGGCTAAAAAGTGACCGCGAGTGAAATTCTCTTTATATGAGCTCTATTACGAAAAAAAATTTCCTCCGACGACCCCCCTTGATATTTTGTGAGGTGGTAGGAGAACGCCTTGGGGTGTCACAAAAAACTCGGCATATCTGGGAAAACTTCGTAAAGGGGTCAAAACTGACCAGTTGTAATTCCCTATATAATCTTTGTATTTTATGGCAAAAACCGGGAAATTTTAACACAATTTTTAGGTTACTTTACGTCCGTACATCGTGCTAAGTTTTTGCATACACTACTATAGATGACTAGGCCGTATGGAAAAACTGTTGGTCAGACTCAAAGCCCTCGACGAGGGCTAAAAGATGATCGTGAGTGAAATTCTCCTTATATGAGATATACATAAATAAATTTACGAAAGATCCCCTTAATATTATGTGACGTCGTAGACCGACCCTGGAGGGTAACAAAAAAACTTTATTCCCGTCGGAAACAGCCATTATAGTCGTTAAATATGTTCATATACCGTAATTTCTTATATAAGCATAGCAACTGTTTGTTAAAAAAAATAAACAAAGAAATACGTCATACGTTCAGTTTTCAAGGGAGGTAACGTTTTTAAAATTATTATTTTTCAAATAATTGTATACTATTTTAAACAGAAACAGAAAATGACGAAGTATAGCATTTGTTTTGGTACAAAATTAAGTTGTTAATTCAGTTACGTTTCCTAATTAAATTAATTAATTAATTTCAAAAGGCATTGTAACATAAATTATGAGATATACTGTTCATGCAACCTGTGTAGTTCTAATTCCATTTTAGTTATACATTGCGCACTTTCCCATATTTATCTGAGAACGGAATTTAAACAACAAACAACATTTTTTCTAAAGTTAGCATTACTGTTTAAATTTAAGCACTCCACACCCAAACCATCGCTAAATAATTAAGTATTCAAATTCTCAAATGTTTTTAAAAACCTAAGCGAAGCTAGGCAGTATGCCTAGTATATATATATAATTATTTATATATTGGGCTAAATGTTGATACAAGTGTCTTACAGCCAAGAGTGGATTATTTAAATAAAATTCGAAATTATTGTGAAGATCCTTACATAAAAATAAACATACATTGGTAAAATGAAAATAAACCTAAAATCACTATAATTTTAAAAGCTTCTTGCACATTTTGTTCTACACCAAAAGCAAATTGGGTTTTAAATTTTAGGAATTTTGGCGAGCAAACAAATATTTTATAAAAATATTTTTGCTATTGTTTGTACTTTAGTACCATAATTTTTTTTTCTTCAGTCCTTTTTAAAGAAAAAATCTGTTAAATTTTGTTGTGGGGCAAGTTGACACAGAGGGTAAGGTTGCAAGTAACATTGTGTTGCAAGGCAACATGTTTTTGTTTTTCTGTTTTAATTATATGGAAGGTTTTAATGAAATTAATAGTCTATATGTTAAGACTGTGTATTACTTTTTGTAAAGTCAGAACTGACTTATATGATAATTATTAGTGGTTTTTTTTAAATTCCTTTCGATTTTTTAGTTAAAGTAGTTAAATAAGACTGAAGATAATGAAATAATATGAATTTGTTTGTCATAGGGGAGATAATTTTAAAAGAAAATAACTCTAATGGTGATTTCTCTAATTTATCTCTTATTTACTAAAAAAAATTATCTTACATTTTTCATTGAATAGAAATTAGAGATTATGACTATGTATATTATTTTCCATTAAGTTAATACTGAGTTTTGTGGTAACTGTTAGTTTTATTCAATAAACCAACACCAAACTGTTTTTAAATTTCCGCTGATTTATGTAATTGATAATTCACTGATTCCGTCAAGACTCAAGTAAAATTAGGTGTTTCAAAAGGAACATGCTTCTTATGGACAGTTCGCTGGACAAATACAAGACTTGATTGATTGGACACTGAAAGCATTCAAAGATAATTAGCAAACCATTATTAGCAACACCAAAACATAAAAAAAACACGTGACACTGCTTTGGTCTTCTGGCCTGGCCTGGCCCACCCCATTCGTACCTACACATCGCTTGTTCATCCCCAGGACTCCACCCATATACCCGGAATACCTGTTTTGCATCAAACGCTTTAAAAAACAACTCATACATCACGTTATTTGTGATTATTATTAAAACAAGTTAATAAAAAGTCTAGTGACAATTTAAGCGCAATTTCCTTAATTAATTTTTTCTGACCGAACGAAAGTATATTTTTGAAAACTTTCTTCGGCAATATCGTTCTAAATTATGGCAGGAATCGATTGGTAAATGTTTCAAGTCGCTAAGTGGTCTGGTTGCCGAGATATGGGCAAAAAACTGCATTTTTTTCCCCGAGGTTTTTTGGCTTTTCCGGGAAATCCAGGAAGGAATTCCGAGATTTTTTTTGGCCCACAATCATCCTCGGAACTTGCTTAACATATTTGCTTTTGGAACTAGTCCTCGATATTGCTTCGTTGAGGAGGAGATACGACTTAAAGCTGCGGACACACATCCATCCAGAACGAATTAATAATCGCAATTGTCAGTATGGAAATTGCGCTAAAAATGTAGGTCTGTACCCCCCTCACCTTATAACTCATTCAAACTCAGAAAATGACAAAATCACCCCAAAACAACTCAATATGACAGGTTTTTTACTAACCCCCCCCCTTTCAGAACCACTCCACAGGCAGTTCGCTTACTTCATTCCCGCCCGCCCCTACCCCATACTCAACAATCAAACAATCTATAAACATTGTAAAGACTCAAATCACTGAACCAAAACCCTCACACACCCCCATCCCAATTTCAATGTTTTTGCGCCCATGACCCCTTCTCTTGCTCCACTTCGAAGTTTTTTAATTGCACATACTATGTATTACCTCCCTTTATACACATTGTATATAAATGTTGCTAAAAATGGTCTGAACAGCATATTTGTTTTTCAATTTGTATATATTCGGAAAATCCATCTTCGATATTTTTTTTAACATGTAATCGCCTTTATCTTATTTATTACGCATTTATTTACACAGTAAACTACTTTTTTTGAAGTCATGTAAATAAAAGTATTTTTAAAAAAACCGAACATGTTTCTTACATGACGAAAATTGTCTTTATTTAAAAATGTAATGTGTGTTGCTTTCTTATGTAGTGAAACCTCATGTAAATGTGCATTAGCTGCACTTTTATGCATTTAAATTATCTATATTAAAGGAGCTTTTTATGTGTATGAAAAATTTCCTTTTTTTTACTATAACATAATTTTGACACTCTCAAACAGTGTATCCGCTGCTGTCTTTGTGTTGTAATATGCTGCGCGTTTTACTGCGCACCAAGTAACTATTCATTTTGAATGATATTAACCCTCTAACTCCCAGTATAAAATCCTGAGCCTTGACTTACCTAAGAGAGGCACTTTGGCTGCAGCTGGCGGTAAGTTTGCTTCCATCAGTAACAACAAAAGGAAAAATGCTACAAAAATGTTGATACCTGCAGAACAACAAATGGAAAAATGTCACAAAAGTGTTGAAATTTGGTTGACGGATGTTAAAACACAACATAATCTTACAACATACATATTCAATATTCATTCAAATGGTATTTAAATGAAAAATGTATTACGTTTTATTATATTTTATAAGTGGATTTAATTTATATTAAACTTAAATTTGATAATTAATTTTATTAAATATAAATATTAAATATAAAATACTCCAACACTAACATACACATAATTACTGTAATGGAAAAAGTGATTTAGAATGATAAATTAAACAGCAGGGGTTTCAATCACTATAAGTAGCCTATGGTTTAGGCAGGCTTTAGGCATGTTGGTTGTAGTTGTGGTGACAGACAAAGATACAAAGAAACAGACAGACACACATTGTTTTATATATACACACACATATATATATATATATATATATATATATATATATATATATATATATATATATATATATATATATATATATAGTTTGACATGTACCAGTCTATGCCACTGCAAGTGCCATTTAAAACAACTCACCTAACATCATTTTTGCTGGTGACTCTGGGGGTATCCAAAACAAAACCAGAGTCAGGGAAGTCAGTAAAATGCAAGGCAGAATCAGAATGTTGTTATAGAAGGCTGATCTTCTCACAAATACTATGGTGAAAGTTAAGTCCAGGTATGGCTCTCCGGGACAGCAAGAGTAGAATTGTTCGTTCCTTTTAGCTGGGTACTGAAGACATTTGTTTTACGTTACGAAACTAAGTTTTTCAAAAATGTAAATATTACCTGAAAAAAAGTGTTAATAAGTTCTCTTATCCAAACATTTTGCCCCAATGACCCATCAGAGAAAAGACATTTCTACTATATTATTTAAGGGTTGCTTAGATACTTTTACTTCCCAAACTTCATACAGGTAGGGGAAGGAGGGGGTGAAAAGTCATAGGGGTGAAAAGTCATAGGGGTGAAAAGTCACAGCAAGTTTTTGCCTCAAAGAACATACTTTTTCATTCCTTCATGAAGAAATGTAATGGCTTTTAGTCGTTTACCCTGCTTGGAGTTCACTTCCTGTTTTAACTTTCTGAACCGGAACTAAGATCAGTACCACATGTAGGCCTACTTTTTTCATTGACAAATTGGGAAATTCAATCAACGTAATCCTCTAAGTATGCTTGCATCTTTCATTATGTTTGTGTTTTCATGCATATGTTTGTTTTCTCAAGCCAAAATAACGTCAGTCTAGATTAATTGTTTGTACTTTTGAGAAATTGATTCGAAAGTGTGGATCATTTTGTATGACAACCCTTTGCTGGGGTGAAATGTCACAGGCCACGGGGTGAAAAGTCAAACTTTTTATTTGGTGTGACTTTTCACCTCGGTCATTAATAAAGAACACTACTTGGTACAAAACATGTAAAATATTTTTTTCTTTTTTTCTTTGTTGAATTTCAAATGGGAACTAGTATCTGGTGAATTGGCATTGTTAAAGTTTCACAATTCTTGTCTATAGATCCTAAAAAGTGAAATTTGTGACTTTTCACCCCCTCCTCCCTACTAATGTGAGTTCAGTGTAAATTTAGCCATTGTAAAAAAAAAATAAAGAAGGCAATGTTTCTATTATCCAGTTAGGATTATACACAACTGTGTAATTTGAAGTAGTATTCGTATTGTAATGTAAATTATTTATTTTTCTTCAAACTGACATCTTTATACCTCTCATGTAGCACCAGTCTCCTTATACTTGGTATTATTCCCTATAAACTAAATGTCTTACTTTTTCTCACAGCCTCATTCCCCTCAGGTAGCATTATTACCTCCCTCATACTTACAATCTCAATCCCTCATACTTACAGCTTTATTCCTTCTCACTTTCAGTCTCATTCCTTCGTACTTTCAGCCTCATTGCTACACACTATAAGCCTCATTCACTTACACAGCCCCATTCCCTCATACTCACAGCCTCATTCCTTTATATTTTACGCTTCATTCCCTCTCACAGCTTCATTCCCTCATTCTTACAGCCTCATTCCTTCAAACTTACTTCCTTAGTCTTTGATAGGCCTGCTTAACGATATCATTTCCTCATAAAACAGCTCTTCCCCGTTTACAAACTTATTTCCCTCGTCTTACAATAGTATGCCTCTCATAGACCTACTCACGTTAAGGATCTTCCAGGAATTGCTTTCCACAAATTCGGTCATATCGATCTTGCCAAATTCTACAGGTGTTCCGTTTACTGACAAAAGCATGAGATTGATCAGGTTACCATTGTAAGTCCAGGAGCCGAACTTCAGGTTGCATATTTGTTGATCGAAAGGGAAAGTCTCAACGTCAATTTCACACGAACTCCTGTTCTCAGACAAAAGTTGTAAACAATATTTTAATTTAGTAACCTACAGTACAGACTATTTAGTAACTAATGAGTAAATTTGATGAATGCCTCTTGGGAGATTAAATGATCTTTATATTGAATACAAATTAATCAGGAGAATATAGATCTAATTTGATTTTTTCGAAACATAGGCAGCAAGAATAGAATAAAATAGAACTAGATCAATTTATTTATTTTCTCCACTACTAAAACTCTAAAACTAAAACTTTCTACTTGACTTATTTGAGTAAAGTTGGCTGTTATATTATTTCTTCCATATTCAATTTAAAAAAAAATATTTGAAAAGAAAATATGTTCTGTTATTTTAGGTATCCTTAAACTTTTGCAGACAGTGTAAACTTATGTAGACAGTGAATGGATTAGTCCAAAATGATTTACATATTAGGCCTACATGTTAAGAGGAAGTGACATACTTGTAGATTGCTTGAGGCATCCATAGAACGGTCCCATTGTAATCTACTATACACCTGGCTTCTCTTCTTTCTGCCAACCGCTCGTCAGCGCTGAAATTATTTTTAGACTTACAAAACAATACTATAACACATAGACTGATACCAACTATTTCATTTTATCAGCTTTTTTTAAAAATTTATCCTCGTGTTTTTGTCAATCGTCATGCTTAGTGCTTCGTTATGAGTCGAAACGGACGAGCGAAATTTCGACTACTTCAAAAGGACAAATTTCTTTCAAACTCGGCGCATGGGTTAAGGTCTATTGCATTTATTTTCTCCAGCTAATTCAAAAATAAATAATATATATAAAGTCCATCTTCTTCTCTAAACCAACAGTTTTCGGTTGCTAACTCCATTAGTTATGTTGTAAGCAACACCGCGATGTATAAAGAGATGCAGGAGTGTATGGTAAAAAATAATGCGGCGCTTGATTGTAGTAATGCCCGTTTCTTTACTTAAACAGTTGGCGTCTTATCTAATATAGGCTACACACTATAGCGGAGCAAAGACTCCTGAAAAAAAAGTCTAATTATAAACGACTATATTTCTTTGAATGACAATTAATTGAGACAAATTTTCTTCCGTTTTTTTTTTATTTTGGCACCCTTCCGGGGATCCATTCCGTAAAGGAACAAAACAAATAAGGAAGAAAAAAAATATTGCCGACTAATTTGGCCTCACCCATCTACAACGTGATTTACGACAATGAGCCAAAGGGACGCAATCACTATCTTGCAATCAATGGAAAACCCCACGGATCGTCTGGATTATCCAGAAAATACCACGTGACATGGATATCAAAAAATAGAGGCGGCTATCTATCCATTCAAGCCAGTTATTTCTCTTTAAAAAAAAAGAATAAAAATCTGAGAGTGGCCGCCCTTTATCAAGTCGAATTGAAGCCATTTCCAATCAGGGTTTAGTTTGGTTGTGTAAGTTAAACAGTGTTTCACTTAAAAATCGCAAATTATTACAAGAGGGTGGGGATGACACCATGGCGTAAACGTGCTAACTATAGTTAGCTATATTATATATATATATATATATATATATATATATATATATATATATATATGTATATATATAGTTTCTTGCGGGGGGGGGGGGTGACACCACTGTCAATGGGGGCTACAGTTTTGTTAATTTTAGTGTGTGTATGGGGTATGGATTTGTGTTAGCGCGTGTTTGGGTTACATAGCTGCGAATAGTGTGTGTCAGTGTGTTTTTTAACTTACTAATTGTAAAGTTTTATATCCGGTAACCAGATGTTTTCGGAAGGAATTCTAATTTTTTCTACGCCTCCTTCCTCCTCTGGGTCCCATGTCAGATGGAAGTCAGTCCAAACCTGGGTGTAAAAAGGTATAGTTTCGTAGACACAAAGGTACAGTTTCATAGACATAAAGGTATAGTTTCATAGACACAAAGGTACAGTTTCGTAGACACAAAGGTACAGTTTCATAGACACAAAGGTACGGTTTCGTAGACACAAATGTACGGTTTCATAGACACAAAGGTACAGTTTCATTGACACAAAGGTATAGTTTCATAGACACAAAGGTACAGTTTCGTAGACACAAAGGTATAGTTTCATAGACACAAAGGTAGAGTTTCGTAGACACAAAGGTACAGTTTCATAGACACAAAGATACGGTTTCGTAGACACAAATGTACGGTTTCATAGACACAAAGGTACAGTTTCGTAGACACAAAGGTATAGTTTCGTAGACACAAAGGTATAGTTTCGTAGACACAAAGGTATAGTTTCGTAGACACAAAGGTATAGTTTCGTAGACACAAAGGTATAGTTTCGTAGACACAAAGGTATAGTTTCGTAGACACAAAGGTAAAGTTTCGAAGACACAAACGTATAGTTTCGTAGACACAAAGGTATAGTTTCGTAGACACAAAGGTATAGTTTCATAGACACAAAGGTACAGTTTCATAGACACAAAGGTATAGTTTCATAGACACAAAGGTACAGTTTCGTAGACACAAAGGTATAGTTTCGTAGACACAAAAGTATAGTTTCGTAGACACAAAGGTATAGTTTCGTAGACACAAAGGTATAGTTTCGTAGACACAAAGGTATAGTTTCGTAGACACAAAGGTATAGTTTCGTAGACACAAAGGTATAGTTTCGTAGACACAAAGGTATAGTTTCGTAGACACAAAGGTAAAGTTTCGTAGACACAAAGGTATAGTTTCGTAGACACAAAGGTATAGTTTCGTAGACACAAAGGTATAGTTTCGTAGACACAAAGGTATAGTTTCGTAGACATAAAGGTATAGTTTCGTAGACACAAAGGTATAGTTTCGTAGACACAAAGGTATAGTTTCGAAGACACAAAGGTATAGTTTCGTAGACACAAAGGTATAGTTTCGTAGACACAAAGGTATAGTTTCATAGACACAAAGGTACAGTTTCATAGACACAAAGGTATAGTTTGATAGACACAAAGGTACAGTTTCGTAGACACAAAGGTATAGTTTCGTAGACACAAAGGTATAGTTTCGTAGACACAAAGGTATAGTTTCGTAGACACAAAGGTATAGTTTCGTAGACACAAAGGTATAGTTTCGTAGACATAAAGGTATAGTTTCGTAGACACAAAGGTATAGTTTCGAAGACACAAAGGTATAGTTTCGTAGACACAAAGGTATAGTTTCGTAGACACAAAGGTATAGTTTCATAGACACAAAGGTACAGTTTCATAGACACAAAGGTATAGTTTGATAGACACAAAGGTACAGTTTCGTAGACACAAAGGTATAGTTTCGTAGACACAAAGGTATAGTTTCGTAGACACAAAGGTATAGTTTCGTAGACACAAAGGTATAGTTTCGTAGACACAAAGGTATAGTTTCGTAGACATAAAGGTATAGTTTCGTAGACACACAGGTACAGTTTCATAGACACAAAGGTACAGTTTCATAGACACAAAGGTACAGTTTCATAGACACAAAGGTACAATTTCATAGACACAAAGTATATAAAAAGAAGTACGAGTCTCAAAGACTTGTCTAAGTCAACTAGTGAAGTTGGACCAACTACTCAAAGCCTTGTCCAAATCAACCAACGAGCCACAAAAAGACTGGACTAAACCAACTGACAGGAGACACGTGACTCACGTATCGGTCCCAGACGTTGAGGGTGAGCACTTGATTCTTCTCCTCCAGGTCCATGATCTGTATGAGCTGCATGTTGTAAGAGACGAGGATGCTGTCGTTGTAGTTTTTGACGGGGCGGGCGTAGGTGCCCCTCCTCCTGTACCTCTGCATCAGTGTTTTGATCAGCTTGTCCTCCTTGGACAGGGGGTGCTCATGGGGTATCAGGCCTGACAGCAGAAATGTATTCATTTGAATGTGTACCGTCGTGATTGTTACCAATTATAAATGGAAAAAGGGGGGGGGGGGGAAGGAGGTTATGATGTGGATGATGTCCGATGAGGGGGGGGGGTAGGGGGGTGTTATGACAAAGTCTAGTGCATTACGTACCCACCTCGTCAATTACCCCCTGTATCCCCTCCCCCCCCCTCGGAGCAAGTTTGAAACGCTTGGTTAGAAATAATAGAAGTGCTCGAAATTTCGCTCGGCAGTTTTGATCTATGACGACAGAGAAAGGAAGTTAAATAAAAGCTTGTAAAAAAATAAATGTAAAAGCCTAAACCGATTTTAATGGTCTGAAATAATTTAGTTTAAAAAAGCAGTAACTAATTCATTTTTTCGACTGCAAACATTATGAACAATGTGAAAATATACAAACCAAGCGAAATCTTTCTCATGTCCCCGGGGAAATTTTTACGGATACGAAACTAAACGAAATCGAAAACTTATCATGAAATTTTTTTTACCTGATCTAGAATTCAACCTAAAATAAAGCCCTAATAATAACAACCATAACCTTAAAGCTAACCGTAACTATTTTATTTGCATATCTATATACACTTCTAATATTAGACAAAGAATTTAGGCGTTTTATTTTTTAGTCTCTGTTGTCAATAACGTCATTCATGAATATTGTGAATACTTTTCGATATTCGATTTTTAATTATTTTTTTTTTACTCTACAATCATTGATGTTATTATTTTTGTGTACTTTTCATCGTTTACACTTTTTATTAACATTGTTTCATTATATTTAACTTTAGTATCATGTGACGTCATTCTCTTTGCCGGTGATTGTTTTTGTGTTACTTATAATATAAGTAACACAAAAACAATCACCGGCAAAGAGAATGACGTCACATGATACTATAGTTAAATATAACTAGACTACCCGTCATCCGTTGGATAACTGTGGGTTTCGGGGGTCATCCATCAAAAAACATCACGTCTGTCACTCAGAGGCATAGCAACCCTTCCCGGCGCCCGAGGACAAACTTTTCGATTTGAACCCCCCCCCCCCCGCAGGATTTCGATTTGCACCCACCCCCCCAAACTTTTGATGTGCACCCCCCCTCAAGATTTCGATTTGAACCCCCCCTCTCCCCACTCAAACTTTGCACCCCCCTCAACCTTTCAATTTATTTTTCCAACCCATTTTGGCGCCCCCTAAGGTCGGCGCCCGGGGACATATGTCCCCCCCCCCCCCTCCTCGCTACGCTACTGCAGTGTCACTTATCGTCACAAAAAACAGACCCCACATTCAAAAATATGATTTTATCTTTTAAAAACACCGAAAACACCGATTTCGGACTATCCCTTCCTATACTGACGTCACAGGTGACCTACTCAACTCTACTTCACCTGCCCAGTGTCCCGCCAAGTCTCAGACAACATGTTTTTATCGTTTAAAAAACGATTCCAGCCGAGCATGTCTCTGACCACACTATCCTTTCATATGCTTAGGACAAAGAAACAGATGAGCTCTACTTCACCTGCCCTGTATCCCGCCAAGTTCAAATAGGCAACTTTATCATTCACATCTAAAAAAAAAAATTGAAAAAATTTTTTATTGACGTATTGGTCTAGAACCTGTGCCACCCGCATGAGAGCCGGCTACACTACCAACTTAGCTATTTACTCGTGACGTCACAAGTGAATTTTTATACTTTATTTTAAGTCTCCTTTTGCAACTTGATTTACGCGCATAGATCTAGATCTAAGTCTAGTAGTAGTAACTTTCAAATTAAATTTTATCTTAAATTAGCCAAAGATTTATTTAAAATAAAGAAGGTCTGAAATTATCTAGATCTAGATAGAATTATCTAGATCTAGATTAGATTCTACGACTCGTTTGCTTAAGTCTTAAGTTTAGTTTTTCTTGCTAGATCTAGAATCTAGATCTAGAATCTAGATCTAATCATTAGGCCCGGAGCGAGCATTTCAAAATTACCATATTCCAAACAAAGATTTATATAAAATAATAAAGGTCTAAAATAGTTTAGTATATAGAAAATCATCTATATACTACTAAAAGTCAAGTTTGTTTACATGTTTGAATATTTATTTGTTTTTTTGTTTGTTTTTTTGTTTGTCCGATCGAGTATTGTGATATGTTCTACTCTATCTGGAGAGCTGTAAAATAGAATGTAGGTAGAGAATAATTTTTTAATGCAGACAGACTGTTAATCACAAATTTATTTAAAGACGTTAATTAATTTATTGATTTATTCATAGGTAGAGTAACCCTATTTTTTTAAAAAGATTAAAACGACCACTACACTCGGCGGGACCGTGACGTCACAGGTTTTTGTTTACTCTTTAGTACAATAAAATGGCGGCGTCTATCGAAGAAAATTGTGTTCCCATTCAAAAGTTTAACGTGTTCTAAATCTAATTTTCTGTCGGTCATAACTTTAACAATACGTCCGTTTGCTGTATTTATTACGTTCCAACACTTATATCAATTTTCAACTGTCTTTTTCATTTAGTTTTACGATAAATTTCTCTAGATCTAAAATCTGTCCAAGAAAGTTATTTATAGATCTAGATCTAGAATCTAGGACAATCTAGGTCAAATCAAAGATTTATTAGTTATAAATACAATCAAAAAAAAAAACGAGACTTAAGCAAACCAGTCGTAGATCTAGAATATAGATAATTCTATCTAGATTTAGATAATAATGAGTTTCTATATACTAAACTATTTTAGACCTATATTATTTTGTATAAATCTTTGTTTGGAATATGGTAATTTTGAAATGCTCGCTCCCGGGCCTATTGGTGTAGCTTAAGATTCATACGCGGCTTAGATGCCGGTAATTTTGCTAAATTATAAACGTAAATTCTAAATATAGCTCAGTCGTAGATCTAAAATATAGATAATTTTCTATCTAGATTTAGATAATAATGATTTTCTATATACTAAACTATTTTAGACCTTTATTATTTTATATAAATCTTTGTTTGGAATATGGTAATTTTGAAATGCTCGCTCCGGGCCTAATGATTAGATCTAGATTCTAGATCTAGATTCTAGATCTAGCAAGAAAAACTAAACTTAAGACTTAAGCAAACGAGTCGTAGAATCTAATCTAGATCTAGATAATTCTATCTAGATCTAGATAATTTCAGACCTTCTTTATTTTAAATAAATCTTTGGCTAATTTAAGATAAAATTTAATTTGAAAGTTACTACTACTAGACTTAGATCTAGATCTATGCGCGTAAATCAAGTTGCAAAAGGAGACTTAAAATAAAGTATAAAAATTCACTTGTGACGTCACGAGTAAATAGCTAAGTTGGTAGTGTAGCCGGCTCTCATGCGGGTGGCACAGGTTCTAGACCAATACGTCAATAAAAAATTTTTTCAATTTTTTTTTTTAGATGTGAATGATAAAGTTGCCTATTTGAACTTGGCGGGATACAGGGCAGGTGAAGTAGAGCTCATCTGTTTCTTTGTCCTAAGCATATGAAAGGATAGTGTGGTCAGAGACATGCTCGGCTGGAATCGTTTTTTAAACGATAAAAACATGTTGTCTGAGACTTGGCGGGACACTGGGCAGGTGAAGTAGAGTTGAGTAGGTCACCTGTGACGTCAGTATAGGAAGGGATAGTCCGAAATCGGTGTTTTCGGTGTTTTTAAAAGATAAAATCATATTTTTGAATGTGGGGTCTGTTTTTTGTGACGATAAGTGACACTGCAGTAGCGTAGCGAGGAGGGGGGGGGGGGGGGACATATGTCCCCGGGCGCCGACCTTAGGGGGCGCCAAAATGGGTTGGAAAAATAAATTGAAAGGTTGAGGGGGGTGCAAAGTTTGAGTGGGGAGAGGGGGGGTTCAAATCGAAATCTTGAGGGGGGGTGCACATCAAAAGTTTGGGGGGGGTGGGTGCAAATCGAAATCCTGCGGGGGGGGGGGGGTTCAAATCGAAAAGTTTGTCCTCGGGCGCCGGGAAGGGTTGCTATGCCTCTGAGTGACAGACGTGATGTTTTTTGATGGATGACCCCCGAAACCCACAGTTATCCAACGGATGACGGGTAGTCTAGTTATTATCTAAATCTAGATAGAAAATTATCTATATTTTAGATCTACGACTGAGCTATATTTAGAATTTACGTTTATAATTTAGCAAAATTACCGGCATCTAAGCCGCGTATGAATCTTAAGCTACACCAATAGGCCCGGGAGCGAGCATTTCAAAATTACCATATTCCAAACAAAGATTTATACAAAATAATATAGGTCTAAAATAGTTTAGTATATAGAAACTCATTATTATCTAAATCTAGATAGAATTATCTATATTCTAGATCTACGACTGGTTTGCTTAAGTCTCGTTTTTTTTTTGATTGTATTTATAACTAATAAATCTTTGATTTGACCTAGATTGTCCTAGATTCTAGATCTAGATCTATAAATAACTTTCTTGGACAGATTTTAGATCTAGAGAAATTTATCGTAAAACTAAATGAAAAAGACAGTTGAAAATTGATATAAGTGTTGGAACGTAATAAATACAGCAAACGGACGTATTGTTAAAGTTATGACCGACAGAAAATTAGATTTAGAACACGTTAAACTTTTGAATGGGAACACAATTTTCTTCGATAGACGCCGCCATTTTATTGTACTAAAGAGTAAACAAAAACCTGTGACGTCACGGTCCCGCCGAGTGTAGTGGTCGTTTTAATCTTTTTAAAAAAATAGGGTTACTCTACCTATGAATAAATCAATAAATTAATTAACGTCTTTAAATAAATTTGTGATTAACAGTCTGTCTGCATTAAAAAATTATTCTCTACCTACATTCTATTTTACAGCTCTCCAGATAGAGTAGAACATATCACAATACTCGATCGGACAAACAAAAAAACAAACAAAAAAACAAATAAATATTCAAACATGTAAACAAACTTGACTTTTAGTAGTATATAGATAGATAGATAAAACAATGTTAATAAAAAGTGTAAACGATGAAATGTACACAAAATAATAACATCAACGATTGTAGAGTAAAAAAATAATAATTATGTTCTCTAGTGCACTGTGATCACAAACATACACAAATACAGACGTAACCATAAACATTTCTTCAGTTGCATAATTAAAGGTGTGTTTCTAAATTTGAATATGCTTTAATTTTTTTCCCTTCTTGAAATAAAAATTAGTTGATATATTTAATAGCTCTAACATATTATTTTCAACATAATTCCATATCTTTAAATTCGCCATAAATTGCTGAAGAAACAGTTATTTGAATAGTAGTTCATTATTATATATTTACAGACAATCATTTATTTTCTTTTTAGTGAATCATTGCATAAACGCTTGTTATTAAAACGTTTTTAATGCATTTTTTTTGTAGAATTTGTGACCAAAATGTGTAAGAAATAAAAATTGTGAAATCTTTATTACTTTGTTAGTATTTGGTTGTTTTTTTAATTGGTCACATCCCCCCCCCTCCCACACTCCAAGTATCCTTTCCTGACCAGCAACACTTGCGCCGTATATCATTACTAATTATGTGGCTTAAGGTTAATCCAGCCTAATCCAGGTGTTAATTAGAGCGAGTTGGTCATCATCATGTGTTTGTTTACCATAGGTTCGCGATTTTCGTTACCAACCAAGTTTTGCAAACAGGCTTTGAATCAAAGCATTTTATTATAAAACAACTTATTATACAAACATTTTATATTTAAAAAAGTTTATCATACAAAGTTTATAATTATAATATAATGAGTTATCATTCAAACAGGTTATCATACAAACAGTTATCATCAAATAGTTTTGGAAAAAAATCCATTTCAGATTTGTAATAAACCTGGATATGCAGTCTCATTTAGTTTTACCATAATCTGTCTACAATCCTCTACATCAGCTAATGTCAGTCTACGATTTTCATGAATTCATGTCTTTCTATTAGCGTCTGCATGAATTCATGTCTGTCTACTATCGTGTACATGAATTCATGTCAGTCTACTATCGTGTACATGAATTCATGTCAGTCTACTATCGTGTGCATGTATTCATATCTTTCTACTATCGTCTGCATGAATTCATGTCAGTCTACTATCGTGTGCATGAATTCATGTCTGTCTACTATCGTGTGCATGAATTCATGTCTGTCTACTATCGTGTACATGAATTCATGTCTGTCTACTATCGTGTGCATGAATTCATGTCTGTCTACTATCATGTGCATGAATTCATGTCAGTCTACTATCGTGTACATGAATTCATGTCAGTCTACTATCGTGTGCATGAATTCATGTCAGTCTACTATCGTGTACATGAATTCATGTCTGTCTACTATCATGTGCATAAATTCATGTCTGTCTACTCACGTCCGCATGAGTTCATGTCAGTCTACGACTTAAACAACACACAAGCCTCTCCATGGAGATCCCTGGGTGTCTGCTGCTATTGATACGTGTAGACGTCCAAAAATTTGGTCCTGAAGTCGGCACGCATCACGTGATAGCCAAGATAAATTTAGAAACACAAACTCTCGGCATCTGTGTATTGTGTTTGTATGCGTGAGTGTGTCTATGCTTGTAAATATAATGTTTCAATATGTGTGACGGTGAATGTACGTATGTATATGAGCGTGTATCTTTACACGAGTGTATTTCTGTGTGTATGTACGTGTGTGGATTTTATGGATTAAGTGTGTGTATCTGTTTGTACGTGTGTTTAGATGTGAGCGAGCGCGTGTGTGTGTGTATGCATATCTGTACCAAGATTCCTACACTGAGGCACAATACTTTTCAAGTGATCCAGTTCTACTCACTAGTAAGGGCTAATTTAACAACAAATGCTCAACTAATGTTGTGTTTTATTTAATGGATTTAGGTAGAAATTGATAAGCCTGCTTGTATACATTCTTATATATAAGTGCGCGCTCATGCACGCACGCACACACACACACTATATATAAATAAATAAATAAATAAATATATACATATATATATATATATATATATATATATATATATATATATATATATATATATATATATATATATGTATATATATACATATATATATATATATATATATATATATATATATATATATATATATATATATATATATATATATATATATATATACATATATATATACATATATACATATATATATATACATATATAAATATATATATATATACATTATATATATAAATATATATATATATATACATTATATATATATATATATACATTATATATATATATATATATATATATATATATATATATATATATATATATATATATATATATATATATATATATATATAATTGATGCTGTACTTACTTTTTTTCCCGCCCTCCGTGACCTTGAGCAGCATTAAAAGGGAAGTTAACACCGATAACCTCATGGCAGCGTCTTTAGGTTGTCTCCCTTGTGTTCGTATAGCCCTGAAGGTGAGATAACAAATGCAGGCTGTCATCGTTATTGCAATGTGGTGTGGTATGTGATGTTGGTGTCTTTATGTGGAGTGGTATGTGATGTTGGTGTTTCTATGTGGTGTGGTTTGTGATGTTGGTGTTTCTATGTGGTGTGGTTTGTGATGTTGGTGTTTCTATGTGGTGTGGTTTGTGATGTTGGCGTTTCTATGTGGTGTGGTTTGTTATGTTGGCGTCTCTATGTGGTGTGGTTTTTTATGTTGGCGTCTCTATGTGGTGTGGTTTTTGATGTTGGTGTCTCTACGTGGTGTGGTTTGTGATGTTGGCGTCTCTATGTGGTGTGGTATGTGATGTTGGCGTCTCAATGTGGTGTGGTTTGTGATGTTGGTGTCTCTATCTGGTGTGGTTTGTGATGTTGGCGTCTCTATGTGGTGTGGTTTGTGATGTTGGTGTCTCTATGTGGTGTGGTTTGTGATGTTGGCGTTTTTATGTGGTGTGGTTTGTCATGTTGGCGTTTTTATGTGGTGTGGTTTGTGATGTTGGCGTTTTTATGTGGTATGGTTTGTGATGTTGGTGTCTCTATGTGGTGCGGTTTGTGATGTTGGTGTCTCTATCTGGTGTGGTTTGTGATGTTGGCGTCTCTTTGTGGTGTGGTTTATGATGTTGGTGTCTCTATGTGGTGTGGTTTGTGATGTTGACGTCTCTTTGTGGTGTGGTTTGTGATGTTGGTGTCTCTATGTGGTGTGGTTTGTGATGTTGGCGTCTCTATGTGGTGTGATTTGTGATGTTGGTGTCTCTATGTGTAGAGGCTGATGTGGCTGTGACTGATGTGGTGGCGACCAAATGGTTCAGAAATAAAGGTGTCTGTGTTTGTCTATATGCATGTGTTCATGTCGAATTTTTTTTTAAAGGGAGATAACAAATGCAGGCGGTCATCGTTATTGGAATATGGTGTGGTTTGTGATGTTGGCGTCTATGTGTAGATGCTGATGTTGTGGCGACTGATGTGCCGAACAAATGATTCAGATTAAAGGGTATTAATGTTTGTCTATGTTTATGCGTTCATGTTGAAATTTAAAGCAAAAAGAGATAACAATTGTAATTGATTCCACACTGTAATGGCGATTACATTTTGCAATTTTTTGATTTCAAAAGGAACGCTTAACTTAGTTTCCTTAGAAATGGTTGCATTATTATACGAATATGTTGCATGTGACGTATTCCTAATTTATTGCTTCCATGAACACTTGTTCTGAGGGTCAAGAGATGTTACTGACCACACTATTCCTTTGTATGCCGAGGTCACTGAACTCCTATGAACCGTCAGGTTCAAAAAGAGTACTTTGAAATTTGTAATATAAATCTACAAAAATCAACAATAAATTTAATGTATGTTGAAAATCTATACCACTAGGTTGGTTTTATTGATATAGATGGGAAAGGTATTTGTAAAACTTCAGACGTCGAGTCAAACATGTGACCATTTAAAGATTTCCAGGAAGTTATAGAATGTCTTTAATTTACGACTGATGACCTTTTCGAAAACTTAATTTGAACTCAAACCTCCTCTAAGTCCCGACTTTAAATCCAAGAATTTAACCTAAGACCTTTTCTTGACCATGACTTTAACCAAAGATGTATTGCTGAACACTTTAACCTAAGACCTTATCTTGACCACGAATTCAACTCAAGACTTGATCTCACGACCTTTGACGTGGTAGCCATCCGCCCTATCTCTCGACCCCCTCGACATTATACTACTATAAAAACGACATTTTTAACATATTTTTTTTATAAACATAACTATTGCCCCCCCCCCCCCCTCTCCACCCGCCACCAGCCCATTCTTTCAAGCTGGCTGGACGATTTAAAGAAAATCCACTGTACTATTTTTATTCCACGACCGAGAACTCTGCTCTCTAAAATCTCCAATTCAATTTTGTTTAAGAAAATTTATCTGCCACTACAGTCCGGACATATAATAAATTTAATACACTTGTGTCGTCCCGGGGAGGGAATGGCAAGAATGGGGTGGGGGGGGGGGGGAAAGGGGGGGGGGCTAAAGTGGCTGAGTGTGAATGGCATATAAGAGTACGGGGGAAAAAATGGAAGGGGGTGGAGGGGCCACATCAGTTACAGACCCCTTATCCATGAACACATAGGAAGCAATACAAGTAATTAGGTTCGAGTATACGATTAAGCTGGCCGGCGAAGAGCTGGGGGAGGGGGGGAGTTAAGAGCTCCTTTGGGACGGGGATTTAGAGAGCTTTTAGAAAGAGGAGATGGGTAGAGTAGAAAGAGGGAGCAGAAGGTTTACTTTAAAAAAAAGGGTTGACTGTTTAGAATGAGATTAGCGGGAGATGGTTTTGTCAAGGAATTTAGCTCAAGTATTTCCGGATCTCGGCGCGTAGAAGGTCCTTTGGCTGAGAACAAGAGGCGTATCGGTGGCTTCAAAAGATGGAATTCTTTTTCAAGGGAAGAGAAATCTTCTTAGAAAAATATATATTTAAAGTAATCCACGAAATGGATAGAATGTCATAAGTGTTATACAGTAGGAATATAAAATTATATGTCTAGTTTATCTTTCACAAACGAAGTGGATATATATATATATATATATATATATATATATATATATATATATATATATATATATATATATATATATATATATATATATATATATATATATAATCTATATATATATAATATATATATATATATATATATATATATATATATATATATATATATATATATATATATATATATATATATATATATATATGCATATATATTTACATGCAGGTGGGAGAGGAGTAGATATCTTTATCGTGAACTGTACATAATTCTCCAAAAGCAGACATTAATTATTGTGTAGTTAAAGTCGTGTCGAGATTAACAGATTATCAGATTATCACACATAATCTTTGTCCACGGGATCTGTTTATCAGATCAGCTCATGTACATTTTTTCTTGATCCTCAGGCCATTAGCTCAAGGCACTTAAGTCTGACACGCTTGTTGCATCCATCCCCCACCCCCATCCCATATAAAAAGAGGGAGAAGTAAAAAAAAAATCAAGAAAAGATAAATGAAACATAAACTGTATTTTTTGTTGTTTTTTTTATTTTGTGAAGTTTACCTGCCTGTGGTAGAGACGCGTTTAGTTTTTTAGTATACGGATTTTTGCGATGAGTCAAAAAAAAAAAATTAGATGGTCGGTTAGCTTCCATCACTATTGTTCAACTAAAATTCAAATAAGTTTTCCCCTTGTTTTGGAAAAATAGGAATGTAGCAAACATTAAATTCTATGAGAATTTAACACAAAAAAATCTTTAAAAAATTGTAAAATAGTTATATTTTTAATAAAAGATATCTTATAAGTTTAAAAACAAATGATACTCATTTGCACATATTAATTCTTCCTCGTGTTTACTATTTAAGTATATATATATATATATATATATATATATATATATATATATATATATATATACATATGCTTATATATACACTTACGATTTATGTACGTGTGCGTTAGGTTGGAGTCGGGTTGGGGAAATATCAAGGTAAAATCCTATATATCACATGTCAACATGGTATGTGTGAATGTGCGTCTCTGTGTGGGAGGTGACGTGGTGTGAGGGGTTGCTTGGGGTAAAACCGACAGAACACACATCAACACAATGTGTGTGTATGTGTGGGTGTGTGGTAGCATGGGGTAAGGGCTATATAACAACTTCAATCAACACAATGTGGGTGTGTGGTAGCATGTAGTAAGGCCTATATAACAACTTCCATCAACACAATGTGTGTGGGTGTGTGGTAGCATGTGGTAAGGCCTATATAATGACTTTCATCAACACAATGTGTGTGGAAGTGTGTATGTGGGTGTGTGGTAGCATGTGGTAAGGCCTATATAACAACTTCCATAAACACTATGTGTGTGTGTGCGTGTTGGTGTTGTAGCATGTTGCAAGTTATATATAACAACTGCCATCAACACGAGCCGAGAAGGTTGTTGTGGGTCAATGCCGAACGGTATCACCAGCCTACAGGTATTATCATCACCATCACCTGCCTACAGCTATTATCATCACCATCACCTGCCTACAGGTATTATCATCACCATCACCTGCCTACAGGTATTATCATCACCATCACCTGCCTACAGGTATTATCATCACCATCACCTGCCTACAGGTATTATCATCACCATCACCTGCCTACAGGTATTATCATCACCATCACCTGCCTCCCTCCTAGACGCCATGCTATCACCAGCCTACAGGTATTATCATCACCATCACCTGCCTACAGCTATTATCATCACCATCACCTGCCTACAGGTATTATCATCACCATCACCTGCCTACAGGTATTATCATCACCATCACCTGCCTCCCTCCTAGACGCCATGCTATCACCAGCCTACAGGTATTATCATCACCATCACCTGCCTACAGGTATTATCATCACCATCACCTGCCTACAGGTATTATCATCACCATCACCTGCCTCCCTCCTAGACGCCATGCTATCACCAGCCTACAGGTATTATCATCACCATCACCTGCCTACAGGTATTATCATCACCATCACCTGCCTACAGGTATTATCATCACCATCACCTGCCTACAGGTATTATCATCACCATCACCTGCCTCCCTCCTAGACGCCATGCTATCACCAGCCTACAGGTATTATCATCACCATCACCTGCCTACAGGTATTATCATCACCATCACCTGCCTACAGGTATTATCATCACCATCACCAGCCTACAGGTATTATCATCACCATCACCTGCCTCCCTCCTAGACGCCATGCTATCACCAGCCTACAGGTATTATCATCACCATCACCTGCCTACAGGTATTATCATCACCATCACCAGCCTACAGGTATTATCATCACCATCACCAGCCTACAGGTATTATCATCACAATCACCTGCCTCCCTCCTAGACGCCATGCTATCACCAGCCTACAGGTATTATCATCACCATCA